GGATCTCCCTTGTCCACATGCTTGTTGACACCCTCAAAGAATTCTAGTAGATTGGTGAGGTATGATTTCCCTTTACAAAAACCATGTTGACTCTTCCCCAACAAATTATGTTAATCTATGTGTCTGACAATTTTGTTTTTTACTATAGTTTCAACCAGTTTGCCTGGTAATGAAATCACGCTTACCGGCCTCTAAATACTGGGATCACCTCTGGAGCCCTTTTTTAAAAATTGGTGTCACATTAACTATCCTCCAGTCATCTGGTACAGAAGGTGATTTAAATGATAGTTTACAGACTACAGTTAGTAGTTCTGCAATTTAACATTTGAGTTCCTTCAGAACTCCTTGGGTGAGTACCATCTGGTCCTGGTGACTTATTATTCTTAGTTGATCAATTTGTTCCAAAACCTACTCTAATGACACCTCAATTTTGGACAGTTCCTCAGATTTGTCACCTAAAAAGAATGGCTCAGGTTTGGGAATCTCCCTCACACCCTCAGCCATGAAGACTGATGCAAAGAATTCATTTAGTTTCTCCGCAATGGCCTTATCATCCTTGAGTGCTCCTTTAGCATCTCGATTGACCAGTGGCACCACTGGTTGTTTAGCAGGCTTCCCGCTTCTGATGTACTTAAAATTTTTTTTGCTATTACTTTCTGAGTCTTTGGCTAGTTGTTCTTCAAATTCTTTTTTGGCCTTCCTAATTATATTTTTACACTTCATTTGCCAGAGTTTATGCTCCTTTCTATTTTCCACACTAGGATTTAACTTCCACTTTTTAAAGGATGCCTTTTTGCCTCTCTCTGCTTCTTTTACGTTGTTGTTTAGCCACCGTAGAACTTTTTTGGTTCTCTTACTATGTTTTTTTAATTTGGGGTATACATTTAAGTTGAGCCTCTATTATAATGTCTTTAAAAAGTTTCCATGGAGCTTGCACAGATTTCACTTTTGGCACTGTACCTTTTAATTTCTGTTTAACTAACTTCCTCATTTTTGTGTAGTTCCCCCTTTCTGAAATTAAATGCTACAGTGTAGGGTTGCTGTGGTGTTTGCCCCACCACAGGGATGTTAAATTTAATTATATTATGGTCACTATTACCAAGCGGTTCAGCTATATTCACCTCTTGGACCAGATCCTGTGATCCACTTAGGACTAAATCAAGAATCGCCTCTCCTCTTGTGGGTTCCAGGACCAGCTGCTCCAAGAAGCCGTCATTTAAGGTGTCAAGATACTTTATTTCTGAATCCCATCCTGAGGTGACATGTACCCAGTCAATATGGGGATAGTGGAAATCTCCCATTATTATTGAGTTTTTTATTTTAATAGCCTCTCTAATCTCCCTGAGCATTTCACAGTCACTATCACCATCCTGGTCAGGCGGTCGGTAATATATTCCTACTGCTATATTCTTAATATTAGAGCATGGAATTACTATCCATAGAGATTCTATGGTACAGTTTGGTTCATTTAAGATTTTTATTTAATTTGATTCTACACTTTCTTTCACATATAGTGCTACTCCCCCACCAGCATGACCTATTCTGTCCTTCCGATATATTTTATACTCTGGTATTTCTGTGTCCCATTGGTTACCCTCATTCCACCAAGCTTCTGTGATGCCTATTATATCAATAGCCTCATTTAATACAAGGCACTCTAGTTTATGCATCTTATTATTTAGGCTCCTAGCATTGGTATAGAAGCACTTTAAAAACTTGTCACTTTTTAGCTGTCTGCCATTACATGATGTAATTGAATGGGACTTTTTTTCATTTGACTGTTTCTCATCAGATCCTACCTGTATTTTATCATCTTCTACCCTCTCCTCTTTACTAGGACATAGAGAATCTCCATTAATAGATCCTCCCCTAAGGGATGTCTCTGTCCTAACCATGTGCTCCTCCGCACCTGTCGGCTTTCCCCAGCCCTTAGTTTAAAAACTGCTCAACGACCTTTTTAATTTTAAGTGCCAGCAATCTGGTTCCATTTTGGTTTAGGTGGAGCCCATCCTTCCTGTATAGGCTCCCCTTTCCCAAAAGTTTCCCCAGTTCCTAATAAATCTAAACTCCTCCCCTCTACACCATCGTCTCATCCATGCATTGAGCTCTGCCTGTCTAACTGGCCCTGCGCATGGAACTGGAAGCATTTCAGAGAATGCTACCATGGAGGTCCTGGACTTCAATCTCTTACCTAGCAGCCTAAATTTGGCATCCAGATCTTCTCTCCTATCCTTCCCTACGTCACTGGTACCTACACGTACCACGACCACTGGCTTCTCCCTAGCACTACACATAAATCTATCTATAGGTCTCGAGAGATCCGCAACCTTTGCACCAGGCAGGCAACTCTCCATGTGGTTCTCCCAGTCATCACAAACCCAGCTATCTATGTTTCTAATGATCGAATCGCCCATTACCAATACCTGTCTCTTCCTAATAACTGGAGTTCCCTCCCCCGGAGGGGGTATCCTCAGTGCGAGAGGATACCACATCATCATCTGTAAGGAGAGTCCCAACTATGGGAGCGTTTCCCTTTGCTCCAGTTGGATGTTCTCCTTCCTCCTCAACAGCACAGAGGCTGTAAGACTGGGGGTGTGATCTTTCTACTGTGTCCTGGAAAGTCTCATCTATGTACCTTTCTGTCTCCCTTAGCTCCTCCAGTTCAACCACTCTGGTCTCCAAAGTCCGTACATGGTCTCTGAGTGCCAGAAGCTCCTTGCACCGAATGCACACATATGCCACCTGCACATACGCATGCTGCACTGGGTGCAATAAGCTGGAAAGCCCCCACTCTGTTGCTGGACTTCGGCCTGTATTCTCTTTTTACTCCTGTAGCTCGTTCCTTTGTTGTTCGTTTTTATCGGGGGTGGGTTTGGTTTTAAGTTTAAGGAATGTTAAGTGTATCTTAACTGCCAACCCTCTCTCTGCCTCTTCAAAACAAACAAATAAAAAAAAGATATCCAGAAGGTGCTGACCAGAAAAGAGATAGAGGAAGCGAGCGAGAGAGCATTGATAGCGCACACACAGGAAAAAGGTGGCAATAGAGGACTTAAAGCAATAAAAGACATGGTGTCTTTCTCCTCTTGTGTGTGCAATTGTGGAACATTTCCTGTTTGTAGTAACACAAAGCTCTAATGTAGTAACACAATGCAATAACCGTATGATTATGATTAAGACATTGTAGTGTTTGTGGTCCAGATTAAATTAAACTGATCTTTAAAGAGATTTTTTTTCTCTCTACTCCCTGGGCCTGGACTCATGGTATCACTATAGGGCAGAATTAAGGCTGGTTGCGTGTCCTAACAGTACATTTCCAGGCCTCAGCATGTTTGCATTTCTTTCAAGTTTAACCTTAATTATCAATTTTCTGGATTTATAATGTTTGGTTTTAGGATAATTACAGTATCCCTGTAATAGATTTAAATACGTTCTCTCAACTTTAGCTCCATTTTAACTGGGTTTGTTTGTTTGTTTGTTTGGTCTGGGAAGGATTTTTTTTTTCAATTTAAAAATTCTGTACATAAATTTAAAGAAAACTGCTAAAGAGAACCATGTGATATTTCTAATATTTGAAGATATGAAGTATCAACTATAAATCTTTTTATTATATTTCTTGTTATGGCCAGATTCACCCGCACACTGTGGCTGTTTTGCCCCACTCTGGAGCAGCACAAAGCAGCCAGTTAAACTGGGTTTACAGCTTCTTTGCATCACCAGAGCAGTTCAAAGCAGCCAGAGTGTATAACACAGATTTCCCCTACCTCCCCACATCCTCCAAATCCCCCCTTGTTCTTGCACCTCCTTACATTCCCCAAGACACACCCCAAATCCCTCTCCCTCTTGCACCCCATATTTTGTTGCATACACACACCCCTAGTTTCCCCCTCCTGCCCTCTCTGTGCAGAAGATCTGGTGCAATGTGCAGCATTTGAAAACAAGTAGGATTAATGGTCATTTTTTGCCAGTATTTTCATAACTGGAAGTTGATCTGTCAGCAGAGGTTGGTGCATAAAATCTTCTCCTTCAGAGAAACTCACACAGAACTGCCCTGGTTTACAATGGCTGCCATCTCCCATTACTCTCAATGGGATTAGGTTACAGTAGCCTGAGTTAAGGTACACTTTTTCACAGAGGCCACTGCGTTCCCTTGTTTCCAGTGACAGTGAAGTCACAGCAGTCTTTGTTCTGGGCAGCCTGTAGTCTCAGTCCCATGGGGAACAATAAAAGATACATTCACTTCTGAAAATGGCCAACTAAACCTGGGCAAGTTGTGACCTCAGTCCCTTTGAGAACAGTAGAAGATGATGGCCATTTTGAAAGAGGGCCGTTCTTTATCGGAATTAAACACTATCCTTAACTCCAACCAAAATATTGATTAATGACTTTGTTAAATATCCAATATACATGTATTACAAAAATTATATTCAGATGGTAAATATAAGAAACATATTTATACAATAAATAAAAAATGTGTCTGAAATGAGTTATCTTTACAATGACTGTAATAATGGCACTATTTAACCATATGTTCTGGTCATTTTAGTGGCCATTAAAATAAGTAATAAAGAATAAATATTATAACACAATTAGTGTAAACCAATAGTTATTAACATTGAAAGTAAATATTAACACCAATACTTTAGGATATATTTTGGTTGAAGTTAAGGATGGTGTTTAATTTTCTAAAAATATCAGATATGGTTTGTGTTGTTTTATTAGAAATTGTACTTGACTTTTTATCCTTTACTTTGTAATTCCTCATTTTTAATGGTTCCGTTTATTAATTAGAGCAATTATAACTCACATTAAATGAAGCTTTTTTGTTTCTGAATAATAATTAATTCAACCCCTCCTTCCCCCTTAGCCTCTGTCCATCTTCCATAGTTCTAAGCTCTCTTTAGAGCACTGAATTAATTAACTTAATTAATTCATTCCTGTGGTTTGTTTTTAATGAAATTGTCCCTCTGGTCACACTGAATTCTCCCTTCTTGTCACTTTACCTTTCGCTCTGTGTTGCTTCCAGAAGCAGTAAGTGGCCAGGACAATGAGAACAGCCAGGAGAGCCAGGATCACCCCCAGAGCCACCATCCAGGGATTGACTCTTGGGAAAAACAGCTCTGCAAAGGAAAGTTCCATTAGTTTGCAAACACTGAGGCCCAGTTCCACAATGGCGCTTAGACACCTAAACTGCAATTTTAGGCACCACTGCAACATGGAAAACCTCTGCTCGGCTGCCACCTGTCTCTCTAGGCACCTAAGCTCACTCAGTGCTTAACCTTTCAGGCTAAAAGTTCCCTACATTTCTGCCTCTGAGCATGCTCACTGCTGCCTCGGTCTAGGCACCCAGACACCTATCTCTATCAACTCCATTCAAAATCCAGCCAGAGGAGGTAGAGTCACCCATCTTATACCTTCCAGCCTAGTGGTTAGAGCACTCACTCAGGATGTTGGGGCCTGGTTCGGTTTCCCCCTCCCCTGCATAGGGAGACAGGATTTCAACAGGGATCTTTGCTAGCTGAGGGGCATGTGCTAACCACTAAGCTAGGCACATTCTGGTGTCTGGAGCACCCTCAATCTCTCCGGTTAAAACTGTTCCAGCTTGTATGAGATACTTAGTAGTCCCTGGGACAGAGACCAAGGCAGTGCTAGTGACTCCATAGCCGGGTGGTTAGGGCATCCATGTGGAAGACCAGTGCCCTGCTCTCATGTCCCTTTAATTATTTATCCAAAGTGGATCAGCTTCAACAGGAGAGATTGAAACCCCCACCTCAGAGTATCCCCATAGCTCAGTGCTTACAGCACTCCCCTGAAAGGGGGAAACCCCTCTTCAAATCCCTTTTTTCTCTCTAACCACTGGGTGAAAAGACAAAAGGAGAGTTCCTCCTCCACTGACCATTTTGTGCAGGGTGAAGCAGGCACCTAGCTCATTCTCACAAGAAACAGCTTAGCTACCTAAGCTGCCTGACCCCAGGTGAGGGGCTCTTGTTCATGGATCACAAGCAGAGATAGGTGCCTCCCTGCATCTGACACTGAACTCTGGGACAGGGGCAGGGCTTAGGAAACACCCTTCTCATCAGCATCTCCCAATGGCTAGCTAAGGCAGCTCCCCGCCTTGTGTACTTGCTTTTGTGGATCCTGTTCTTAGCTACCTGTCTTTCCCCATTCATTGTACAGGGAGTCTGGATGCCTAACTCAGGCTTTGTGGGTTCCAGTGATTTTCTAGGTCCCTAAAAGTTAGGCACTGCAATACTCAGTCTCACAATGTCTGTCGCTTTGTGAATCTGGACCAGTGAGGGGAATTCTGGATTTTGGTGATCAATGACAACACTGCATGACTGGCTGAAGGAATCCTATGGGAGCTCCCGATGGATGTCATGGTGAGATACAGCTCCTCCATGCTTTATTACAAAGCCAGTGAGACTCCTAGCCTTTTTCTAGCTCTGGAATAGGGCTGACATCCAGACAACACTACAGATTGGAGTTGTCTTGTAATTGGGTCTGGGTGACACCCTGCCACGGCTGTAATTGTAGTGTAGATGGGCCTGGCAAGAGCAGAGACCGTGGGAGTGAAGTTTTCAAGTTACTTCATTGATGTGCTTCTGAAAATCTCACTCTTTAATGTCAGAGTTATTAGAAAACAATGTGTAAGAAACAGGAAAACTAGTGAAACCAGAGTTACCTCTGAACCCACGACCCTAAGCCAGGGCCAGATGGAGAGGTGCCACAACACATCAGTGTGACCTCCCCCCAGGACACAAGAGAACGGGGAGCCTCACTGGTCACAAACTCATCATCCAGTGGGTCACCAAATGCAGGAAAATGTTCACTCCCTTAGAGATTCCCAAATGGAAAACTCTGAACTCTAAGCTGAGGTGGCACCAGAACAGCTGAGTGAAAATGCCCTTTCACCAAGGGATCTATCCTTTAAACATGTGCAATCAGGAGCTTAGACATTCAACTAACCCCAATGTACCCACAGATGTTTACACCAGCAAAATAGCACAGAAACAAAACTAGAACCCTAGTCATGGCTGGGCTGAGCACTGGCCCTTGCTATTGTTCCTGGTGGCCTGTCCTCTGCGCTCTGCAGACTGTGTTAGGAAGAAATCCTCACTCTGATTCCTGTTCCTGTTATCTGGCTCCCTGAGGTCTTTGTGTATTTGGCAGCAAATAACTCCCTGTGTTTTAGCAGCACTGCTCAGGGCTTTGACCTTGTTAAATCTCTTAGGTACAACCAAACTGGACCTGGTCAGTCCTTGCCAATGTGCAGGCCTGTGTGGAGCAGCAGCACCCCAGAGAGCCTGCTCCTGATGTTCCGAGTGCAGTCCTCTCATCCGCTCCTGCATCTTACACATTCCTCTATACAGATTTTTTTTTCATTCTTTTTACTGAAATATGTCATAGAGTTATCAATTTCAAGGCCAGAAGGGTAGATTATGATCATCTACTCCGACATTCTGAACAACACAGGCCAGAAAACTTCCCTGAATAAATTCCTGCTTCAAGTCCAATAGCTGCGGTTGAGCAACAGAACTTCTTTTAATAAAAAGTAAAAGCCCCAGGAGGATTGTACACATAGGAAGTGTCCATACAGGGTGTTCTCTGAGGTTAACTGCAACAAAATTGGAGTCAGGAAATTCAGATCAATGTTCTCTCCGAAACCTTATCTCTGGAGCCTTCAACATGTGCATTAGCAGAGGGATAAGGTGGGTAAGGTAATATCTTTTATTGAACCAACTTTTGGGGATGAAAGACAAGGTTTCGAGCTACACAGAGCTCTTCTTCAGGGCTGTCTCTTTCACCAACAGAAGTTGGGCCAACACAAGATATTACCTCACCCACCTTGTCTCTCTAACATCCTGGGACCAACAGAGCTACAGCAACACTGCAAACATTAACAGAGGGTCCATCGAAGTGTTGACCAACTGCCGTGACTTAATGGTGAGTAAGGAGATTTTAGCCCCTGCTGCAGCCAGTCGCACAACGATGTGAGAAGCTCCAGCCATCACATAATTTCCAGCCCTACTGTGGGGAAAGCCCCTCTCATTGGCTGCCTCCCAATCTCCTGGGGTTGGCAATTAGAGCTGGATGGAAAACTGAATTTCCGTTCTACAGGAAATGCTGATGTTTTGGGAAAAAAAAAAAAAGGTTCTGAATCCTATTGAAAAGCTTAAATTTCCTGCACAATGAAAATTAAAAAAAAAAAAAAAAAAATTCATTTGGGGCCACCAAAACATTTTGTCTCATATGTCAAAACATTATAGTACAATATAAAACATAACATATAACACAACTACACAAAATATAATATACTTTATATTCAAATTACTATTTAATATAATGTACACGCCAGACAAAATCAATCAGAAGAATAAAGTGAAAATATAATGTAATGTTTGATACTATCCAAACAAAATGAGTCAAAATGATTCATTTTTACCTTTTCCCATCAAAAATGTCATTGAAATCGACACATTCCTGCAAAATACTTTGATTTACACCAAGCTGCCTTTGCTAATGGAAAACGGTTCTGTTGAAATACTTCTGAACAGCTCTGCTAGCAATGCCGCCTTCATTTTGTGATTTATGAAGTAGTGGGCAATGTCACAGTGTCACCTAATGCACCCCTGTATTGAAATTCTACACACCATTGAAATAATCGTTGTATATAATTTGCCTTGTGAGGCGTGATGAAGTGGGGAATTTTCTTAATATTTGTATTAATAGTGTCTGCGCGCACCTTAGTTTCCCCTAGTTGCATGATTAACCAGGTAGTTGGATATGGGTGTTTGATCTTTGCAAAGACCCCTAGAGGATTAGGTGTGAATGCAGTCTAGCTGCCTGGGCCCAGACAATGGGCAATACTTTGTAAATTATCAACTGATGGATGGGGGACCCAACCTCTGCAAGAAGCCAGCCAGTTAAAAAGAGTTGGAGAACAAAGAGAGATGGGGGCCAGGTGACCAGTTTTGCCTGGGAAATTCAACAAAGGATGGAGGAGGGGCAACTGGGCATGACAGAAGGTGAGCTGTTGGAATCAGGACACTCTCCAGTTTGAGTCTCGGGGGAAGGGGGAGAGCCAGGGCTCTGGGCGTGGCCAACATGGACTTTGCTGTAGCTTTCTGGGTCCTGTGCTAACAAAAAACTCGCCTACGCTGTGTTCCAGACCACTAATAAACCCTTCTGCTTTACAATGCTGGCTAAAAGTCACTGCTAACTGAGAAGCTGGGGGTGCATGACCTGCTTTCGGGGTGTGTAAGGATGCCCCCAGGTGTCTCATTCAGATGGACTCACTGCAGGGAGCTATTTCTCATGGAAGAATTTCAAAAAAACTCTGCACATGCACTGCATATTGGACTATAATCTATGGAACTGATTCTGGAAGAACTGTTTACAAGTCAGCAGCTCATCTGTGCTAATGTAACTGACCTAAGAATTTTATTCATGTCTGTATGGATAATGATTGTTTAACCACAATAACTTTCTTTTATTTTTAATAAATCTTAGTTTAGTTAATAAGGATTGGCTATAAGCATGTATTTGGGTAAAATATGAAATATTCATTGACCTGGAGGGTAATGTGTCCAATCTCTTGGTATTGGTAGAACTTTATATATGGTGAATAAGATTTTCAGTAATCTTCATCATATTTGACTTGGCTGTCACGGTGAGAGCCAAAGGCTGGATTGCTTAAAGGGAACTGTATTTTAGCTTCTTGGTAATCAGTAAGGCATTACAGAGCGTGTTTTGTTACTGGCTGGTCTGACGGGTGTACTTCCCCCGCACTGGACAAGTAGGGACAAACCACACACTCTGGGCAGAGGAAGCCATTCCCCTCACCTTACTGGGCATGCTCCAAGTGCTGCCTCAGTATAAAAGGAAGCAGCCCAGATCATTCTAGACTGACTGCCAGAGAGGAAGGATGCATGCATGCCGCAGCCTCCAGCCTGGGAGCAGACGCAGCCCCAGCCCCAGACTGTGGGAGCTGGAGACGCCGAGATCCAGGCAGATGCCTGGATACCTGTGGACACCCTGTGGAGGCCAGAGTCACCAGGGGTAGCACAGCCTAGGGAACCCAGAGACCCTGAAGATGCCCAGGCCTTGGCTCCAGGGGATACAGTAGGACATAGCCCAGGGGAACTAGACAGTGGACTGGTTAGTGAACAGGATTTTGAGTCGGTGTGTTTTAGCCAGATCCCTGCTGACTCAGTGGCATGCACACTTGCCACCACTAAGGCCCTGAGCTAGGACCCGGTGGAGAGGAAGGGTCTGGGTCCCCCTACCCTGGCCATCACACACACACCCACCCACCCCCTTGGTGGTGGCCCACTTCCCCCAACTCTGACCATAGCTCTATTAAGGAGTGCAACCTTCTTGTCTCTGGCCACAAGGCCATACAGCCTGAGAGAGAGGGTGATTGTATTGACTCTGGCTATTGCACCATACTGCCCCGATTACAAGAGCGACCACATTGACTCTGGAGATTGGGCCATACTGCCCTGAGGCTAAGGGTAGGCGAGCAGACTTAACTGCAGGGCCTTGATGCCCTTGCCCTATCCCAAAGGGGGCAGGGTGTACTTGCCCCACAACAGCTGTGTAAATCTAAATAAAGAAAAGACCACCAGTTTTCAGGCTTGTTTGCCCTGATTGAGCAACCTCAGTGTGGCCTCCTCAGCAACCAAGGTCACAGACGTGTATTATCTTTATTTATGTTGTAACCATTTCTGACTGTAATGCCTTAATATTTGTACTCACTTAAATCTCATGGTAGTTAAATAAACTTGTTCTACTCTTTAATCAAAACTAATCCAGTGTTCTGAACTGTGTGGGTAACTCCGTTTAAGGTGACAGTCTGTATCTTGATCCCCTTAGAGAGGCAACAGACCTAATATATCTGGACTGTCCAGGAGAGGGCTGGAGAGTGCAGAACACACATTTCTGGGGAAAAATCCAGGATTCTGAGTGCGTTGAGGTTACCCTGAATATGGTAACCAAGGCAGCGGGGGCCAGAGTTGCTGGACCAGGGCTGTGGCTGTACAAAGACACTCAAAGTGTGACCTGCATGCTGTTTGTGAGGAGCCCAGGTTAGGATTCAAAACAGCAAAGCATTGTGTGGTACCCCAGCTTGCAGGGCAGGGGTGACAGCCCCTCACTGGTCTGGATTGCACCCCGGAATGCCATACACAGCCTGTTCAGCAGATGTAACAATGCAGACTTGAGACAAACAACATTCTAAATATTGCAATGGGGATCCCCTCTGCTACTGCCTGGGTGCAGGTAGGTGAGGTTTGGAAGAGAGGCTGGGGGAACGGAAAGTGAAGGTAAAACTGTTCTGGGGTGGCCTTGTCTATTGCCCACTGTGAGGGAGGCCAGTGCTGCTGTGGGAGGGCTCTAGCCGTACTAATGGATTTTATTAAAGAATGTCTCACCTCCTTCGTTCAAATATCACTGGTGCTACTTTGTTGTTGTGCAGGTGGCTATTGTTCATTGATTACAATAATTATATATTAACAAAAATATTTTATAGGCAGTATTGCCAGATCAAGTGTTCAAAAGTCATGAATCAGGCCCCCCTCCCCCTAAATCATGAGATTTTAGAAAACAATAAATGTTACTTTGTATTTGCCTTCTGGTTTGTGAGCCTTTAGGGGTCACATTTTCAAGCTTTTATGTGCAATCAGGAGGGTTAGAAACATTTTTCCAGGTAAAGCTGAGATTCTTACATAAACTTGCAATTCTAGTAGATGAGGTTTTAATTGAAATAGACAATATCAGGAGTTTCACTATAAAATCATGAGAATTGACAGTGGTGAAAGTGAAGAATATAAAGGCTCCCTGCACTTCCTCCTCTATAACTTTGGATCTATGTATATGATATTTCATATCTGCTTATTTTGGACACTTGTGTCCAATCTCCAATTGATTTGTATGTGAAGAATTGGGCCCATTTGCGTCATTCTGTAATGCAACAGCAGAAAGTACATGCTCTGGGGAGATTAGGGTCAAAGGGGCTATGCAGATTCTAAATCTGAATTTCTTGACTTCTGTGAAACTTAATATAAACTGACACTTTGGCTCCCTCAGTCTTTACTCAGGCAGAGCTCTCAGCTAAGCGAGTGGGAATGCTGCCTTGGTCTGGGATGCTGGCCTGGGTCCTTGGTGGTTCTGTGACACTGATTTAGTTTTTTGGCATGTACTATATGAAGCCCTCCAGAGACAGTAAAAGAGAGGCTCATGCAGTATCTAGAAAAATATATAACTAGGAGTGAGCAATAAACACACCATCATACACATTCCCCACTAGCATCTGCCATGTCCATTTTATCCCGGTGCACTGTGGGTGGCACTGACCTGCTATGGAAGCTGTTGATAATTTCTCTTGGTTAAGAGGCAGGTTCCTGACAGAACAGGACAAGTCCTGGTTGGAATGTTCTGTTATAAAAATAGAAATCTGGCTTTGAAACAGGCCATTGGCATCCTTGAATATTTTTTCAGAAGCAGATGGTAGCAGCTGCCCACTGTGATCTCTCCACTGAGCCTTGGGCTCTGGGTGCCAGCCTGCTGATCGACACACAATCCAGATTGTTCCATCATGGTAACCATCAACAGAGATTTGGGGGTCAGAGCCTGAAACTAGAGAAGAATGGAATAAACCTGTGTTAATTCTACAGAATTAGCAAAAGAACAATAGCAGAAGGAATGAATTAATTCTCCCTCTGCATCCCCAGAACCCAGAGTCACTGGGAACTACACGAAAAATACATGGCAAGTGTTTCTCGGAGTGTTGGGAGATCTGTTCTCTTCTCTATAATTTCCCAATACTGATTTCTACCAGTGGAAATTAGATCCTGAGTTTATCCACAATGGAAAATAATAAGGCAATTCCAAGAGAAAGCTGACAAAGAAAACAGCAGTCAATAAATAAATAAAATAGGAGGCCAGCTCCTGAGAAATGCTGAGCAGCTCAGACACTTCACTGGGCGACACCAGCACTCAGCACCAACCAACTCTGGTTCATAACAAGGAAACATCTTGGGAACATTCTACAGAACACACGGTGTATTTAAATAAGCAAAATTGGGAAAGTCACCTGATAGACATAAAGCCTGGGAAATGGGAATGGCGGGGCTGTTTTAATGGCTGAGGAATGTTTTAACTCTATTCCGTTCTATTTAAAACAAAGCCAAGATTAGAAAAATAAGCAGAGTGCCGAGCACAGATGCGAAATTCGTCCAGTTCATTCTCAGAGAGCGGCTGCTGACCCTGCTGCTCAATAAGTGGAATCTGAAAGGGGATTCTGGGTATCAGTGTGTGAATGAGAAACATCCAGGGTCCTCTCACATGAGCTCTCCTGCCCCGTTTATTACACTGCTAGGAAAGTAAAACAAGCTACAGACCTGCCACCTGCAGTTCCAGTAAGGCTTCTTCATATGAGACACTGGTTTGAAAGAAACACGTGTACTGTCCATGGTCAGAAAGTTGGACATTGCGTATTCTTAGGGAAACACTCCCACTGGTGATATTGTCTTTCAGCAGCTCTGTCCTTCCCTGATATCCCAGCATCTGCTCTCCATACTGATCCCGTCCATCCTTATACCGGTGCACAACTGCAGAGAACTGGGATCGGAACCACCTCAGCTCCATGTCCTCAGCGCTCATCCTGGGGGAGAGGTGGCAGGGCATGACGGCCTCCCCGCCTAGGGAGGCAGTGATCGGATGGTCAGGTCCTGTCACTGTGAACTGTGCTGTGAAATGTATCGGGGGAAAGAAAAATTAAATAGGAGAGGAACCAAGACAGGCAGAAATGTAAGTGCAGCTGGGTGCTTATTGCCATCTTTGAAGTGTTCAAAAATCAGGAGTCAACCCCCTGAAAAATCATGGGATTGGCATAAAAATAGAGATTTTTTAAAAAATCATAAAATTGGGCTTGTTCTTGGCCTTCTGATTTCTGAACCTTTAAAGTTGACTGGGGTCACATTTCCAAGCATTTATCTGCAACCACAAGGGACAGACAGACACTTACTTTAAAGCAAACTGAAAGCTGAGATTCTCACCTAATCACAGGCCCGCAGGACTTGTGGCTTAAAGAAACACATCAAATATCATGAGACTTGTGATAAAATTCTGCGAGCTGGTAACACTGAGGGGACGTCTCCACCTTGAGCTGGAGGTATAATTTCCAGTGTGGGCAGACATGCACCCACTAGTTCTGATTGAGCTAGTGTGAGAAAGCGTAGCCGTGGTGGTGTGAGCGGGCGGATGGGTTAGCTCTCCAGGTATGATCCTGCCCAGGACCCTAGGTACATATTCAGGGAGGCTGCTCATGCCACTGTGTCTACTCTGCCATTTATAGCACGATAGCTTGATCAGAACTAGCGCAGGTATGTCTATCCCATCTGGAGACAGCGAGGAGCAACATCTTACATATTTAAAGGCTTCGACAGTGCTAACTAATGGCTTAACGGTGTGGGAAGGGGAGGGAGAGCTGGAATGTTGGAGGGGGAAGGGGGAGCTACATGTTGTGAGGGATGGTGGGGCAGGGGATGGAGAAGGAGACAGACTCAGCAGTTTTATCTCACACTTACAATCACTGTAAGAACTGACATGATGCTGGGATACAGACTGTGTCTCAGATTTCTCTCACCAGCCCTGTTAGCAACTACACACTGTAAACCCTTCAAAACACAACCCCATTATCCCCACTGCACTGTAACAAAAAGTGTCGATGGGGCAAGGAGTGCTGAGGAACAGCATAGCAACCATGTGGCCTAGTGGAGAGACCACTGAACTCGGACTATTCCTGGCTCTGCCACTGGCCTGCTGGGTGACCTTGAGCAAGTCTTTTCACTGCTCTGTGCCTCAGTTTCCCCATCTGTAAAATGGGAATAATGAATAAAGTTCCTTGAGCTCTATTGATGAAAAACATTATATAAAAGCTAGGGCTTTTTGTTATTATCGAGCCACAGTCGTGTATCAGCTGCAAACCTAAGTGAGAACTACAACCTCCTAAATGGCCACTACTGTCTACTACAAAGAGTCCTCTTTCTGTTCAAGAAACTAGGAAGGAAAGTCACTGACAAAATCTTTGCTAATGCAGAGTTAAAGTTCCCAGCGGTATCTCACGTCCTTCCAGAAAATTGAGTTCAGCAAAACTCAGGCCTCTGAAAACCAGCAAATGCAGAGTTAAGGTACATGCCGAAGCGACCTTAACTCTGCCCTGTTTGAGCAATGACCTAACAAACCCATGGGGCACAGACCCACACCCTGCCTGTGCAGATAGAGCACGTCCCTCAGGGATCAGGGCACATGACAACTGCAGCACAAACACCTTCTCCTTGCTAAGGGAACATTTGTTTTAGGTGAGCTGCGCTGTACAGGAGCAACCCACCCCGTTCTGCCCTCAACATTGAGCGACTGCCCAGAAACAGCCCCACATTTCTTACATTTTACAAACCTTCACCCCCTTTAACAGCCCCTCCACCCACACTCCCAGGATTCTATCTAGCACTATATGTCCCCTTCCCCATTGTCAAACACACAGACAATCCCCGTGGCAAGCAGGCCCCTGAGCCCTGCTACTGACAACTACACAGCTCAGGGCTGAACTAAGGGATGCAGGATCCCTCAAGGTACACCTGCACCTCTCTCCTTTCATCACATGCCTGGGCGGGGGATGGGACTCAGATCTGGATCTCCTCAGATCACAAGCACAGCTCTACCAAGCTGCTCCAGCCAATATCTCCACCAGTCAACCCAGCTGCACCTAACACAGTGACTGCAGCTGGGGCATGCAGAGATGTGTATAATTATAATTTTCAGACTGGAGCACCCACGGAAAAAAATAGTGGGTGCTCAGCACCCACCAGCCACCCGCCGATCAGGTGTTCAGAGGGCCCTGCAGATCAGCTCCTCCCCCACAGCACCTCCTACCTGCAGCTGATCAGCGGCAGGCAAGGGGTTCTGGGGTGGAGGGGAGGAGCAGGGGCGGGAAGAGGCAGAGGAAGGGCAGGGCGTGCTTGGGGGAGGGGGCTGAACTGGGGCGGGAGAGGCAGGGTGGGGCTGTAGCCTTGGGGAAGGGGGCAGAGCAGGGGCTGGAAGAGGTGGAGTGAGGGTGGGGCCTTGGGGAAAGGGGCAGAGCCACGGTGGAACACCCCACCGGGGAAAGCTGAAAGTTGGCACCTGTGAAATTCAAGAATTTAGAGATGTGCCCTGGAAGCTGTGGTTGAGAACACAGTGTAGCCGTGTTCAGCAATTCACTACAGAAACTTTCTGCTTTGTTTTATTAAAAGTTTTATTCCTAACAAACTGGTTTGTTGTTTATTGAACCCCAAGATCATTACATGGTGTCAGAAGTGCTGAACGAGAAGGAGACTGCAGTCATTTTGAAGTTAACTCCTGTGTTTGCAACTGAAAGCGGAGGCAAGGGGAGTACATGCAGCAGCAAACAGAGAAGAACAAAGGCTTTTGTATGTATTTTGTGAGCAAAATAGTAGCTCAAATAGCTTAAAATGGGGAAAAAAGCCAAAAATGGATGTGTCGCAACTTCCATTCAGTCTGCAATTGTCAGGCAATGTTGCAGAGAACTGGAAAAAATTCAGAAAGAGATTTGACTTGTATTTAGTAGCCAGAGGGGCAGAAGAGAAAAATGATCAAGTAAAATGATCAATCTTTTTGCCTGTTGTTGAGGCGGAAGCATTGGATATTTAGAACAGCTTTGCGTTTGAAGAAGGTGAAAGCATGAAGTTAAGTAAAATACTGACTAAATTGGAGGAACATTACATGCCAAAAAGGAATTGAGAAGTGCAAACAACGAGCATGAGAGGTGCTGTATTGACCACGGATTAATCACATCATCACTAAAGTGGTAGAAAACTGCTGTTCATGCTTGAAATACAAGCCAACAAGGGAACAAGCAGAGCCACTGTGACCTCATCCAGTTCCACAAAGACCTTCTGAGAAGGCAGGTACTGATGTATTTACCTGGCAATCAAAGGATTGTTTCATAGTCACAGAGGATTATTCTCTGTATCCAGAAATTTGCACACTGCACAGTACTAGTGGTAAGTCAGTGATAGATGACATGAAGGGAATCCTCTCCAGACATGGAATTCCAGATGAAGTCTTTAGCGATAATGGGCTGCAATTTTCCATTGCAGATTTTAGGCAATTTGCCATTGATTGTAGTCCAGACAAATCAAGGGGACACATTTTGATGCAATCAAAGGGATCTATGTATAATCCCAGAAAGTTCCAATACATTGACAGTCGACGTGGACTCTGGCATTTCCCAACTGACTGATCCTTTACCATCAACAGGCAAAGGAGAACAACTCAGACTCCAATGAGAAGATCAGAGAGGGAGATTAAATGTCCTGAAAGGCCCATAGAGACTTGCTAACCTGCCTGGAGAAGAGAAATTTGAGGAAAATGAGTGGTAAAGACTCACTCCAGAGAGATGTCCTGGTAACCTCACCTCTCTAGGTAATTTATGAGGTGATTTATGGAAATAGACTAGATGGGTTGAGAATTTAATGCATGTGCTATTGGGTAGTTGTTAACTCTTATATACATATATAGAAACAGCTAATTGTTTTTTTTTAAGAGGGAAGATATAGAGATACGTTTGTGGAAGATTATAACTAAGGGCTTGGCTACACTTGCGAGTTAGAGCGCATTAAAGCAGCCCTGGGCGCCTGAGCTCACTCCCCCGTCCACACTGGCAAGGCATGTAAAGCGCTCTGACTCCGCAGCTAGAGCGCTCCTGGTACTCCACCTCGGAGAGTGGAATAACGTTTGCTGCGCCTTGGCTACAAGGCCCAGGCGTCAGTGTGGACGAGGTGTTGCATTACTGCGCTCTGATCGGCCTCCGGAAACGTCCCATAATCCCCTTAAGTCACGTGGCCACTCTTCTCATTGTTTTTGAATCACTGCAGGAATGCGGATGTGCCCTTTCAAAGCTCCGTTTCTGACAACCGGCTACTTCTCTGCTCCGAGACAAAGCAAACATCAGTGTGGAGTGCTGTGTGAGAGAGAGAGGTGGGGGGGGAAGGGGGGGTCTGCTGCTCTCTGAACTTACAAGACAGCCTGCTGACATGCTCTCAGCCTCCCCCAGAAAACACTCTCTCTCTCCCCACATACACACAACACACTCCCAGTCACACTCCCCCCCCCCATTTGAAAAGCACCTTGCAGTCACTTGCATGCTGAGAAAGCTGCCCATAAGGCACCGCTCCCAATGCCGCTGCAAGTGCCGCAAATGTGGCCATGCCCAGTGCGCTTGGAGCTGTCAGTGTGGACAGACTGCGGCGCTTTCCCTAGTGCACTCTCCAAAGGCTGGTTTAACTCAAAGTGCTCTACATCTGCAAGTGTAGCTATGCCCTTCGAGATGCTCCCTCATGAGGGACAGTATTATGAGCATCAGAATTTAGAGATGTGCCCTGGAATCTGAGGTTGAGAATTCAGTGTAGCTGTGTTCAGCTCTTCACCACAAAAGCTGTCGAGTTTGTTTTATTAAAAGTTTTATTCCTTTCCCTTTCACTGAGTTGTTGTTTAATGAGCCCCAAGATCATTACAGAAACCCCAGCAGGAGGGAACCAAAATGCCCAAGAAGCTGTGCAGGCAGCCCCAGGGGTGGAGTGGGTCACTAGGGGTATGTCTTCACTACCCGCCGGATCGGCGGGGATCAATTTATCACGTCTAGTCCAGACGGGATAAATCCGTCCCCAAGCGCTCTCCCATCGACTCCCGTACTCCTGCGCCGTGAGAGGCAACGGGGGAGCGGCAGCAGTCGACTCACCGCAGTGAAGACGCCGCGGTAAGTCAATCTAAGTACGTCGACTTCAGCTTTTATTCACGTAGCTGAAGTTGCGTAACTTAGATCGATCCCCCAGTGTAGACCAGGCCTATAAGGCCTTCCCCAAGGGTACAGAATGAAGAAGCCAGCAAATATCCTCCCATCCTCATTGTAAGAGGAGGTCTCCCTCTCAGCCTGAGTCAGATGTGTCTAGTGTAGTATGAATGACTTGTGGGTTTTCATTTCATAACCAGAGAGAGTCGGGGATTCATGATCTGTTTGTGCCTGAAGAGTCTGATCTGCGACTTACAGTCAGTCTGGCAGTGCGGTAGATAGGAATTTGGTAGCGTCCCTTTAAAGAGTTTGTGAGCCCTGTAATGGCGCTCGCCGTGTTCTTTGTCTTAGAAGCCTCCAGTCACAGCAGCAGCGTGTGTGTAGCTAGGCCTGACAAGATTGTGTCTAGGTAGCAAACATGGCTACTGGGGACCCAGACGTGCCCTGTGGTTTCTCCATGTGGCTGGTTGTGGGCAGGTTGAGCAGACGTGGCTTATAAGACAAGGCCGTGATGTGAGATGGACGATGACCAGCAATAGCAACAGTTGCAAACCCAACGAGGAGGCCGGAGCTCCTACCTGATGCCAGCCGGTGAACCTGTAGAGCGAGGCAGAGAGCGACGTAGCCCGGCAGAGCGGAGCTCACTGTGGAGCCGGGGGAGAACGAGGGAACCTTCCCCGTCATCGTAGCTTGGTCTGGGGAACAGCAGAAATAACAAACCAGATGGTGAGTGAGTGTGATGCAGTGACAGGACAGTGCCACGGGGCAGTGGGGAGGAGGTAACAAGCCTCACTGCTGCCTACAATGCACCCGAAGAGAAGGGATTTCCCCCACAGTCCTTGTCTGCCCTGGCTCCGAGCAGGGTTAGATGTCACTGTGCCAGCAACCGGTCCATACCACGCTCACACCATGGCTGCACCTCATATTTAGATTGTAATACACTCTCGAGAGCAGGGACGGTCCCTCACTATTGGTGTATCCAGCACCCAGCACAACGGGATCCCCATCTCAGTTGGGGCATTCAGACACCGCTGTGGAATGGGACATATTAAGGAAAACAAGCCAGCGTGGCATGAATGGCCACTGACTGCTGTGGTAAAGGGGCTCCATCGCCTGACCACACCTGTCCCAGGTCAGGGCTCTCTGGGGATCTCCCAGATCAGTCCCCGGCCCTGGTGATTTTGCATGTCAGTGACCCACCCTCATTGCCTCCGGCCTGGGTGCAAATGTCAGGGATGAATTCTGAACAGGGTCACCCCAGCTCTGTGCCCCCTGGGATCTGTAACATTGAAACCTCTCTCAGGGGACATTTACACTGCAGCTGGGAGCGAGCTTCCCCCGGGGGGATAGACAGACATGTGATAGCTCTCCTGGTGCTAACACACCTAAACTAGCACGTAGCACTAGCTGGGGTAGCGGAGCCAGCAGCTCGGGTGACGTGCCTGAAAACTAAACCCGCCTGGACCCCCCCCCAGGTACGTACTTGGGTGGCTAGCTCAAGCCCCCGCCCATGCTACCCTCAGCTACACCACTACTTTCATTGCACTAGCTTGAGCAGAGGGAGCACGTGTCTGTCTGCCCGTCTATGGTGGGAATCGCACCTCCCAGCCGCAGTGTGGACGTACCCTCATAAAATCCTAGAATATCAGGGTTGGAAGGGACCTCAGGAGGTCATCTAGTCCAACCCCCCACTCAAAGCAGGACCCATCCCCAATTCAATCATCCCAGCCAGGGCTTTGTCAAGCCTGACTCAGAGACAAAGAGCTTTAGGCTCACGCCGCACCCAGCCGTGCGGCCCCGGCCAGGCTGGGCGGTGGTGTAAAACCCTCCCAGGGAACCAGGCTGTGCCTGTAACTTCCCCTACGCTGGGACAGCCGCCGGGGCCAGTGTTGCCCACAGAGCGGCCAGCACTGGCCAGGAAGGGGCCTGACCAGGGCTCCAGGGCTCAGACTCGAGGCCTCCCCCCCAGTGACGCCCACTGACAGAGCTCTGGGGGAGGTGAAGCACCCCCTGCCCTGGCAGACACCTGTAATATGGGCAGCGGCGGTAACAGCACCTGCCCTCCCGCGGGGCAATGGCCCTGCAGGCTGGGGTGGGGCTGGGAGGGATTCACCGAGTCTGGAAATAACAAAGCGGGGGGGGGAGGGAAACCCGGCCATTCCCTGCGGGGAGCTTGCACCATAAGGCCCCAGGTCACTCACCGAGGCTGCAGCCCCGGATCCGCACACGGGGTCACGGAGCCGGAGGGTTGGAGACCGGACCCGCCCTCGTTATTTGTGTGAATTTGTAGCTGAATTGACGGGGCCGAGCCCCCCCGGCCTCCCCGCGCTTCAAAACTGAAAGTACCAAACTAGCGGAAACTTAAAGTAACGGTCCGTGGCCCGGGCTGGTTGGGGCGGAGCAAATTGCTCTGAAAGTCCCAGCCCCCCCCGGGCTCGGAGCTGGCGGGGTTGGGGCTGGCGGGGGCAGTTCGCCAAGGGAGCCAGTGTCGGGGTGTCAATGCCCCCCCCCGCTGTTCCTGCCCCCCAGGGATCGCTGGGCTCTCAGTAATTCCCCCGCCCAGCCCCGTCCCCACAGCCCTGTCCGGAGGGGGGGGGGAACGAAGCAGCAGCAGCAAAAAGCACCAGCCAGGCCACCCCGCCGCCCTGGGTGGAGGCAGAATGAGGGGGGGATACTGCGGGGGGAGGGGAGCTGAAATCCGGAGTGACTGAGTGGGACCGGGGTGGGAAGCAGGAGCGGATCAATTGGAGGGGGTGCGGGGGGTCAGATCGGACTGAAGGGGACTCGGGACCTGCCCGGCTGCAGCTGGTCCCTCCTTGGAGGGAGTTTTAATGGCCAGTCTGAGTTCCAGTGAAATCTCGGGGGCGGGGCTGGTGCAGAAGGAGGAGGCTGGGAGGAGGCAGCGGGGGGGTCCCGTCGCTGTTCCGCGGTCACCAGCAGCCCGGAGAGGCGGAGTCCCGGGGGCTTCCTGGGCTCTGAGCCACCAGCTGGATTCTCATAAATCACCGGAGTGCCCTCCCCCAGCCCCGCCCCTTCCCAAACAGGAGCGGGGGGGGAGCAGAGCCCAGATCCGGGGCCGTGTCCTTGCTGCTCAGCACAGAAGCCTCCAGCGACTGACACCCCCTGCAGCCCCTCATCTCCCCAGCAGCCCTGAGTCACAGCAGCACCCCGTGACTCCAACCTGATGGGTCAAAGGGGAGGGTTTGCAGGATCGGGCCCTTGATGGCTTACTCCTATATTATTGCTCCCTGTTCCATACAGCAGGAGGAGGGATCCAGGAAGGGGGCCTGGGGGAGGGGGAGACTCCAGCCCTGAAGCCCAGGTGGGGAAGGGGCTGAGATCCAGGCAGCTGAAGCTGGTCAGCATGTCAGGAACTGCTTCACATCGGAATTTGCTACTAGTAGCAAAAACCTAAACTCACTTGGTTTGTGGTAGCAGTCCTCTAACTGCCTATAGACACCTGCCCTGTTGCCTCCCACAAGGCACCCGCGCAGCTGTGTCCTGCCCACTCCCTAACACTCATGAACCTGGGGAAATTAGGTGCTCCTCTGCTTTGATCTTCCGTTCGGGGCCCAATTCAGCCCATCTGCTCAGAGACAGACCAGCAGATCTCAGTTAGTCTCAAAGGTGCCACAAGTACTCCTCCTTCTTTTTATTAATAGTTCTGAGATTGCTTCAGCCAGTTCCTTAAGTGCCCACAGGTGAATTTCATCAGGGACCACCAACTTGAATACACCTAGCTTATCTAAATATTCTTTAACCAGTTCTTTCCCTATGTTGGCTGGCATTCCTCCCCCCTTGCTGTTAATATTAATTATGCTGAGTATCTGGTCACAGTTAACCTTTTTCTGTGAAGAATGAAGCAAAATAGGCATGATCCACCTCAATGTCAGTGACTAGGACATGGGCAATTACACCTAGTGGTCAGAGCAGGAGTCAGTAGCCAGGAGTCAGAGCCCAGGGTCAAAACATGAGTCAGGGGCTTGATGCCAGAGCTAGGCATTAGAGCTGAGGTCAGATGTCAGGAATCTGAGTCCAAGGGGTCAGACTTGGGTTAGCTAGAACAAAGCAAAACAGGGATAGGGCAGAAGCTATCACAATCATGGGCTATACTTTGAGCAGCCTCTGAACTGCAGCTGGGCTTAAGAGCCGGTCTGCTGAATTTTGCAACCAATCAGGTGCTGTAGCCAATCAAGCAGCCTAGTCCAGACCAGCTGCACTTATTAGGTTGCCCAGAGACTGGTTCTGCTGCAGGCTCTGATTCCTGATACTCAGCTGCCTTGAGGTTGTCAGTTATTAGCTCTCCTTTTTTTGCTAAGTAGGGGGCCTACACTTTCCTTCATCTTTCTCTTGCTCCTAACATATTTAGAGAACCTCTTCTTACTGCCTTTTTTGTCCCTAGCGAGCTAGGTGGGACTTGGCTTCTGACTTGGCCTTTCTCACTTTGTCCCTAGATGCCTGTGCTAGTCTCCTGTACTCATTCTTAGCAACTTGTCCATGTTTCCACTTTTTCCTGGATTCTCTTTTGATTTTCAGGTCATTAAAAAGCTCCTGATGGAGCCATATTGGCCTCTTACTGTTCTTCCAATCTTTCCTTTGCATCAGGATAGCTTGCTGTTGTGCCTTTAGTAGATTCTCTTTGACAAACTGCCAGCTCTCCTGAGCTCCTTTTTCCTCTAGATTTTCTTCCCATGGGACCAGGGTGAAAGTAACATTAAGCACTTAGCGGTACAGGGCCCTGGTTCTGGGCCCCTGGAAGGGGCGGGCCTCAGGCAGAAGGGGAAGGACTCGGGGTCATCCTGGCCTGGCCCGTGCTGCCCAGGGTTCTGGCAGCAATTTAAAGGGCCCAGAGCTCCGGTCACTGACACTGCAGTGGTGGCTGGGAGCTCTGGGCCCTTTTAAATCGCTGGCCCTGGAGCAGCTGCCCCTTCCTCCCCACACACAATGGTGGCTGGGGGCGGCGGCAAAAGGGGCAACAACGTTAAAGCGCTTTAAGCAGGTTCCTTAAAGCGCTGCAGCAGCTGTGCTTTAATGTCAGCTGCATATGGGCCGGTACCGACGGCCACTTTTTATCGGTATGCCGTACCGGCCTATACCGGCCTACTTTCACCCCTGCATGGGACCTTAGCTGCTAGTTATCTGCGTTTGTTAAAGTCTGCTTTCAGAGTCCATTTTCCTTATTCTGCTACTGTCATAAATAGAAAGGGAAGGCGAACCACCTTTAAATCTCTCCTGGCCAGAGGAAAAAACCCTTTCACCTGTAAAGGATGAAGAAGCTAGGATAACCTCGCTGGCACCTGACCAAAATGACCAATGACGAGACAAGATACTTTCAAAGCTGGGGGGTGGGGGGTGAAAACAAAGGGTCTCTGTCTGTGTGTTGCTTTTGCCGGGACCAGAGCAGGAATGCAGGTCAGAACTCCTGTAAAGGGCTAATAAGCAATCTACTTAGTTAGATATGCGTTAGATTCTGTTTTGTTTAAATGGCTGAGAAAAGAAGCTGTGCTGAATGGAATGGAGATTCCTGTTTTTGTGTCTTCTTGTAACTTAAGGTTTTGCCTAGAGGGATTCTCTATGTTTTGAATCTAATTACCCTGTAAGGTATTTACCATCCTGATTTTACAGAGGTGATTCTTTTTACTTTTTCTTCTATTAAAATTCTTCGTTTAAGAATCTGAATGCTTTTTAAATTGTTCTTAAGATCCTAGGGTTTGGGTCTGTGTTCATCTATGCAAATTGGTGAGGATTTTTATCAACCCTTCCCCAGGAAAGGGGGTGTAATGTTTGGGAGGATTTTGGGGGAAAGACGTTTCCAAACAGACTCTTTCCCAATTATATCCCTGTTAGACGTTTGGTGGTGGCAGTGATAAAGTCCAAGGGCAAAAGGTAAAATAGTTTGTACCTTGGGAAGTTTTAACCTAAGCTGGCAAAAGTAAGCTTAGGAGGTTTTCATGCAGGTCCCCACATCTGTACCCTAGAGTTCAGAGTGGGGAAGAAATCTTGACAGCAAGTTAGACAAACACCTGTCAGGAATGGTCTAGATAATACTTAGTTCTGCCATAAGTGTAGGGGACTGGACTAGATGACCTCTTGAGGTCCCTTCCAGTCCTATGATTCGAATGGAAGCATTCTAACCAAAGGACTGAGGACCTTCCCATGATTTAGAAGCAACCAGAGACTTAACAAGCCAGCAGTTTATTCCATCACTGCTACAAGCCTGAACCAAGAACTTTGCAATTATTGTGTGTATTTTATTCCTTTAATCAATTTTAACTGACACCTTTCTTTCTTTTTATAAATAAACCTTTAGATTTTAGTTACTAAAGAATTGGCAACAGTGTGATTATTGGGTAAGATATGTGTTGTATATTAACCTGTGTGTGTGGCTGGCTCTTTGGGACCAGAAGAACCTTTTATTTGATTAAATTGGTTTTAAAGACCCACTCATCTTTAAATCTATTTTTTTTTTTTTTTTTTGGGTGGTGACACAAGGACTAGAATACCTAAGGAAACTGCTTTTCTGAATTGTTAGCCAGTGTGGTGAAACAGAAGTTTGCTATTGTCGCTGGTTTGGTATATCTTATGAGAGAATAACCACCAGTTTTTGGGTGTATCTGCCCTATTTTTCAGTAGTTTGTCCTGAATTTGGTATCCTCAATTGTGACCCATGGAGGCACGGTGACACCCCCTCAAAGAATTCTGGTAAATTGGTGAGACATGATTTCCATTTACAAAATCCATGTTGATTCTTCCCCAACAAATGATGTTTATCTATGTGTCTGATAATTCTGTTTTTTAATATGGTTTGCCTGGTACTGAAATCAGGCTTACTGGCCTGTAATTGCTGGGATCACCTCTGGAGCCCTATTTAAAAATTGGCATCACGTTAGGTATGCTCCAGTCATTTGGTACAGAAGCTGATTTAAATAATAGGTTATAAACCACAGTTAGTAGTTCTGCAGTAATAAAGACCCTTGGTGCAAGTAGCTTGGTGGTGGTCTGTGCAGGCTGCTTAATTCCCAAAGAGGCCTGCCAGCCAGGGGCTCCACGAGCTGAAGCCCATTCACAGTCAGATATTTACAAATGAACATGACCACCGTTGTCGTCAGGATAGTTTGTGCTGTAAATTGTTAGTGACAACACATTATTATGGCTCCTCAGATACTAACAATTGTTTTGTACATTAACCTGCTTACAGACATATTTTCCCATGTAA